TCTCTACAAGAGTCTTCAGTGGCTCTTCCACTTAATCTTCATTCCAGTGCCTTGGCTGTCAAGGTCTTCTATATTCTTGGCTGATATTCTAGGAGTAATAACTTCTCCTTCACAGCAGCTTGTTCTGCAAAGCCATCCCTGAGTGCTGGTCCCTGTGCCTGCTCTGTGCATCCTGGGCTCCCCATCGTTGCCTGATTGCTCTCCTTGGCCAGGCAGGGCCTCTCCTGGCCGCTTCTCAGGCCCGCCTACTCTGCTACCCGCTGAAGTTCTCCTCACATTTCAGGTCCTTCATATAGCTGTCTCCAGCTCTTCAGTCTGTGTTACTCACATCCTTCTGACCTTATTTGTACTTCATGAGATCCTTATCTCTGACCCTCAATTTCCTGATCTGAGAAGTGAGAATAATAAGAATTCTTAGATATATTAGGGATAGAAGAAATTTACATGGAGAGCTGGTTGTAACTGTCAGAAAGGGTCCTTTCTTAGTGTTGTAATGATTCATGGCCATTCATTATGATTCTTCTTTGCTCCCTCGTTATGTATTTATATGTATTTTTTCTTTTTATTGTAAACTATTTGACAAGAAGTACTGTTTTTCTTTTATAGCAATATGTGTGATATTGAGTAAGAAACACCCCAAAATACCTTATAAGTCTTTAAGTGAAATAATAAAGTATTATTGATAAGCATTTAATTCATGTTTTAATAAACAATAATGGTCACATCAATGAGAGAAATAAAATTCAGTCACTTTCAGATACGTGTTGCTGAAGCATGAACCTATTGAACACTATGGGTTTCAAACTGAGAACCGTCATGAGCCAGGAATTTTGTTAAGTTCCATCAAAACGTGAGGACAGAATTACTTTCTTTGTTTTTTTTGTTGTTGTTTGTTTAAATTATCTTGCTAGTCCCTGAAGCTGGAGCATGCATTACTTTGAAATAAAAATCTATTGTTTTCCTAGCACACTAGCATTTCTTAATTAGAAAAAACTTTAATTTCAAGTTATATTTCGTCACCCCTCCAAAAGAAATACTTCAGAAAAGGCAGAGAGAAGAAAGAAGTAGAATAATTGCCAAACAATACCCAGTTTGTAGAGAAAAGAATTGAGGAATCACTTTGTTTATCCGTTAACAAAGGTTATAATTCATTGAACGTTGTGAGTTTTATTGTAGTATAATACTTTTATTGAAATATAGTTTATTTCATCAGAAATCATGCGGAAAAAAAATTTACTTTTCATTAACATTAGTAGAGTCCTATATAGCCCAGGGATAAGTTGTACAAACATAGGTATTATGAGTTTATATACCAGATCCTGCATTCCCAGAACTTCTTAAAATAGGTACTAGACCTAAGTTACTATGAGGTACTATCTTCCCTAACTTAATTAGTAGTATATTAATTATTTATTCATATTGTTTTAATTTACATTGTCTTTCCGTGATCGTAAAGTGATTATCTGAATCCCCATTAGGGTTTCCTGTCAACTATTCTCCTGCCATCTATCACAGGGTCACCACCAGTACATTCTAGTAAGTTCATCCTTCTGAGATATCCTCTGCCTAACTTGATTTTGAATACCTCCTATGTCATGTTACTGTTAGCATTTTCTTTTATACAAATTGAATAAAACAAATATTTGTTTTGTTCTTTTTTTTAATTAAAAAGAATGGGTTTTTTTTTTAATACTTTAAGTTCTAGGGTGTAACAAATATTTGTTTTTTCTAACTCTTCACCTTCCTTACACCTGCACATGGGTAAATACATATTTTCAAATAAGAAATATCATTGGCTGCTCCGCCTATGGAGTAGCCATTCTTTTATTCCTTTGCTTTCTTAATAAACTTGCTTTCACTTAAAAAGAAAAAAGAAATATCATCACAAAATAGAGTCACTCGTCTTAATTATCTTGATGCTGTGAGAAAACTGATGATGCCATCATCATAAACATTTTCAGGGTTAAGAGGAAGAGACTTAGCTGAGTTTTCTCAGGCATAGCCGGTTTTAGTTCAGCTTCTAATTATGATGAACATTTTAGTCTCAGAGCTTGGAATTCCAATGTTCTTAGAACTCACCTAGTGTTGTCATTTCTAATATTTTTTGTTGCTTCAGCGTAGTCGTATATAAATTTCAACATAGGACTAACAATTATTTTCAAACTTACGTACTCTTTAGGGTTTGAATGTCAAAATTAACTTGGCTGGGTATAGTGACACATGCCCATGATCCCAGCACTTTGGGAGGCCAAGGCAGGAGGGGATCGCTTGAGCCCAGGAGTTTGAGACCAGCCTGGGAAACATAGTGAGACCCCATCACTACAAAAAGTAAAAATAAATTAGCTGGCATGCTGGTGTGTACCTATGGTGCCAACTACTCAGAAAGTTGAGGTGTGAGATCACTTAAACCTGGGAGGTTGAGGCTGCCGTGTGCAATGGTAGCCCCACTGCACTCCAGCCCAGATGACAGAGCAAGACCCTATTTCCAAAAAACAGAAAATCAACTAATTCCAACTTCATTTTAGGAATGAGGCAAATGAGACCTAAAGAGGTTCAATGATTTGTCCAAATTGCATAATTTAATCATTAGATAGTCTTAAATCAGAACCCAGGCCTCCCATATGAATCAGTATTTTTTTTTTTTTCTGCCAAACAACACTTGACTTTAATTGGAATAACCGTAAATGTTCTACATTTACATATAAGTAGCCCCTCATCTCAAAAAAAGGCGTACTATCTGTGAGTCCTTTTGAAATTCTAGGCAGGCTTTCCAATCCGTGATAGCCTTAGCAGTCATTAAAAAACTAATCATACCCTCTCACAATCTAAAACATTTTTTCCAACCCCCTTTAAAAAAGTTTATTGAGATATGTTTGTCCGTTCACCATTTGATAAATATTTGGGTTGTTTTTACTTTTTGGGTATTGTTACTAATACTGCTATGTATATTCATGAACAAGTTTTTGAATTAACATTTTTTTCACTTTTCCTGAGTACGTAGCTAGGAGTGAAATTGTTGGGTTATGTTGTAAATCTACCTGTGTTTAACCAATTGAGGCACTGCCAGAGTGTTTTCAAAGTAGCGGCATGACTTCACCTTCCCTCCAGCAGGGTATGGGGTTTCCGATTACTCTTCCTTCTTGCCAGCACTTGTCTTTTCATTATAGCAATGCTAGTGGGTATGAGGTGATATCTCATTATGGTTTTGATTTACAGTTTCTTGCTAGCTAATGATACTGAGTATCTTTTCCTGTGGTTATTGACTATTTGTCTTTTTTGGAGAAGTGTTTATTCAGGTCGTTTGCTCATTTCTAATTGTACTATTTGTTATCTTGTTACTGAGTGTTAATATAGCTCCTTTTATATTCTAGATACAAATCTCTTATCGTATATATGATATGCAGAAACCTTCTCCCATTCTGTGTCTTGTCTTTTCTTAATAGTGCCCTTTGATACCCAAAAGGTTTTCATTGTGGTAATGTACATTTTATCTAGATTTTCTTTCATTGCTTTTGCTTTTGGTGTCATGCCTAAGAAATTGTTGCCTGATCCAAGATCATGAAGATTTATTTATATGTATGCTTTCTTTAAGAGTTTTATAGTTTTAGTTCTTACAGTTAAGTCTTTAAACTATTTAGATTTAATTGTTATATATGGTGTGAGGTAGAAATCCAACTTCATTCTTGTGCACGTGGATTCCCAGTTGTGCTAGTAGCATTGGTTGAAAAGATTATTCTATTCTCATTGAATTTTCATGGTACTCTTACTAAAAATCAATTTACTGCAAATGTAAGGGCTTCTTGAGTACTGGGATTCTCAGTTCGATTCCATATATATATATATGTGTGTGTGTGTGTGTGTGTGTGTGTGTGTATATTTATGGAATCTGTAGCTTTGCAGTCAGTTTTGAAATCAGGTGAGTTCTCTCCTACCCAGTTATTGGTCATTAACTTCATCACCAAAAAATTTGATCATGCACCCCCAAATATATGCATATTTATAAACAGTATAGCTATTTTGTAAATAAGATAGACATACTAGTACACTAAATTGTATATAACATGAAGCATACTGAAACACTGCATTTAAAATGATAATGGGATAAATAATATTTTTTAATTATATTGAATATTATTTTATAGAAAATTGGCAAATAACATCTTCACTTTTGTTAGATTTTTGCAAACTTATAAGAAGGTGTTATGTATTTTAAGTTTTGAAAAATGGCATCAAACTTCCCCCAAATCACATATAGTATTAACAAATAAAATAATGTTTAAAGACTATATTGTTTTTTCGTCTATATCAACTTCTACTTTTTATTTTAATACATATATTAGTACAGTAGCTCATATTTTTTTTGCGTGGTTTTATCATTCAGTGTTATGGTTATAACTTGAATCCATGTGATATATAACTTATTTACTTTCAGTCTTTTCAGAACTTTATTGTATAACATAACTTATTAAACCATTTGATTTGTTTCTTATTTATTATTATTTTAAAAATCACTGCTTTGTGAACATTTTTGTATATGTCTGCTGGTGCATATATGCAAGAATTTTACTAGGAAATATACCTGCATGTGGGACCATTGGGTCATATGTTCTGTGCATCTTCAGCTTTACTAAATACTATTAATAATTTTCCAATGTGTCTCTACCAGTTTACACTCCCACAAGGAGTATGTGAGAATTCTCATCACTTCAAATCCTTCCTCATTTCTTTTGGAAGGGTAAAAACGTTTGTTTAATAGATGGGACTGAGCTCTGTCTAATTGATTAAAGCTTTTAAGAAAAAAAATGATAAAGTTATTCTTTTAATCAGGACAGTGTAGCTAAAATGGTTTAAGGTTCCAGATTTTTAAAGAAAACTTGAGTTTATGTGTGGACTATTAAAATCTTTTCTCTCAATAGGAGGTTAAAACCTACCAAGTCTAGAAAAATCTACTTTTTAATTGTTTATTACTTAAACATTTATTTCCTCCCACCCTCCTTTAGTCCCAGGTGCTGTTCCCACTGAATCCATACAAGGAAGTACCTTTGAAGAGAAGATATTTCTTCAGTGGAGAGAACCAACTCAAACATACGGTGTAATCACTTTATATGAGGTAGTATATATGTTTGTTAGTAATTTTTAATTAGAAATTCTCATTATAATGTAGGCTATCTAGTATTTAAAAATGCATAGTTACATAATATATTTTAAGAAGTTTAATGCTTTCAGTAGTTATAATGGTTGTTATATAGGAGAAAATTGTAAAAATAAGTTTTTGAATTATATATAATTTGAGGATTTAGCTTTGCAATGAGTTGGACCTTTCCAGTTTATATGTTATTATATGTTAAGACACAGCATTACATTTAAGAATTATCTTTATTAAAAACAATGAGTATTTTGAAACATGCATTGATTATAAGACAAACATAGAATTCTATTCTTGATTAGCTATTAAATATTTTGCTACTGAATTATAGAAGGACACTGATTATCCAATTAGCAAAGTCAATAAATACTGTCTCAGGGCTAACAATAGAATAATGTCTTTTGGTTTCTTAGTATTACCAAAACATCCTTTCGACTTCTGTGACATAGTTTTGTCTACTGAGGCATATCAAATGGTTGAATGATAGATAGCAGAGAAGAATTTGATGAATTGTTCAAGGAAAAAAATAACAGCAAGAACAGGGTGACATTCATCATCACATCTATGCGAGCATCATTTCACTATGCCTATTGTCATAGAAACAAGCAGCTGTGTTTTTTTAAGCTAGCATTTATTTGAATGCAAATTCGACAAAATTGTATGTTGTAAAGTTTCTAAAAATCGTGGCAAATTCTCCTATGGAACCTCTGCTTGAATACCTTTCAGAACTACTGACAAAAGCCTGTAAAGATGAGCTGTCAGACAGTGATCACTGGGAAACCCCTTCCCTGACCCAGCTGGCCTCACGTTTATGTTTCCTTATAATTTTTGAAAATTGGTATTGAAACACACACAAAATTAATTCAAAGCTAAGTGAAGAAAGATAAAAAAGTTGATTTTTGTACTGTTATTGATGCTGTTCATTGGCTGCCTCATTGTAAAAGAATTGAATATTATCAAAATTCATAGCTCAGCTTTTATAGAGCTAAGTGTTATAAACAAATCAAACAAGTTCATATTTTTTTTCTCAGTGATGAAAATCTTTTAGTGTTTATTTTTGGCCCCCAAAATAAACTAAAACTAGGTCTCAGTTTTGAGGATTCTTACCTAGTAACAGGATTTTAAACTCGGAAACATACAATCTTTGAAATCAACTTTAATTTCCAAGCCATAAGTTCATCTGTCCTAAAAGCCACATGTTGCTATGTAGACAGACAGCAAACATTTAATAGAGTCTTTCTTTTTAATCCCACAAGAGATGTATCTCTGTGTGGTAAGTCACTTTAACATGAAAACAATGGGAATAATAATTCAAAGGAAAAACCCATTAATCTCTCTGATTCTGCAGCCAGGACTACCCAGCTGAACACTGATCTAAATACTACTACAATGGGGATGCATGAATGTGTCATAAGTCAGGGTTTTAAAAATCAGATATGTGTAAGTAAAACAGATTGGTTCAGTTTTCTAGGGACCAAAGGGGAAATATGTGATCCAGGCTGAAGTGATTAAATACAAGCTTTCTGCCCGACAAATCTTTCTCCCTTTCCCATGTTTCCTACAAGTAGGAAGGAAGGGAGTCCCCAGCTTCCTCCAGGTAGGTCTTAGGTGGAGTCTCAGGAGGAGCTCTTCTTGAGCTGAGATGCACCTGTGAGCTGTGATTCACCCAGCCTATGCCAGAGTTTACAACAGGCACACACAGCTTCCTCCGGAGCTGCAGATACATGTTGAACCAGACTCAGTCCCTCTCTGGAGAATCACAGACTTCTGAGACAAAATTATGCTAAGAAAATCAAACCTTTGCCCCAAAAGAAACAGGGACCATGGCAACAGTGTATTCTGTCATGGAATCACATTTGAATACTGGTGAAAACCAGAAGGTGAGATAAATTGCCATGGTTGGAAAAAAGTTTAGTAACCAGTGACACAGGTGTTTCTTTAAGGAAAGCAGCACGCAGGATAAATTTTGAAGGAAAGAAAAAAGCACAGATGGAATATTGTTGATGTTTGTATTAGGCCGTTCTTGCTTGGCTGTAAAGAAATGCCAGAAGCTTGGTAACTTATAAGAAAAAGAGGTTTACTTGACTCATGCTTCTGCAGACCATTTAGAAGCATGGCACCTGCATCTGCTCCAGTCAAGGGTCTCAGGAACCTTACAATTATGGCGGAGGCTGAAGGGGAGCAGGCACGTCACATGGCGAGAGCAGGAGTAAGAGAAAAGTGGGGGGTGCCACACTCTCCTGTGAACTCAGAGCAAGAATTCACTCATCACCAAGAGGGTGGCCTGAAGCCTTTCATGAAGGATCTGCCCCCATGACCTGACCACCTCCAACACTGGGAATCTCATTTCAACATGAAATTTGAAGGGGACAAACATCCAGACCATATCCGTGTTGGAAATGAATATGCTGTAGCTTTAGGTTATTCTCAGGTCTCTCTTTGCTTATTATGAAAGATACACAAAAGCATTAATGATAAAAAACGGCTGACAGCATTGTTTTTTCCAGGAGTTACAGCAGTTCACAGCCTTACTTCATTCTTCTGGTTTTCTTCCTTACCTTCTCCTTTACACTCCTCTAACTCCATTGTCAGCCTTCCAGCACTAGCCTTGCCTCTCTGACCTCCTTGTCTTCATTCTGACTCAAGTCCTTCTCATACCTTACCCCTCCATCTCAGTCATTTAATTTTATCAGTCATCTTCCTACAACCTGGTTCTGATCATTACCCCGTTACTCAATAGCTGTCAAAATCTCTTATTTTGTCAAGTTGTCAATTTAATACTGCCCTCTGAAAGAATACTTTTAAGTGCAGAAGTATTCAAAATAAAACATCCTTGCTTCCCAATTTTACTTTTCAAATGTAACTACGATTAACAGCTAGATACATGTCCTTTTAAAATTTTACAAGGTAGAACCTGTAGTGCAAATTCATTAATAAATGTAAAATGGGTGCAATTTAATAAATGTTATCAAATCCAGCATTTTATTACAAGAATAAAATGCCATATGAGACTCCCACCTCACATCATACAAAAATAAATACCAGGTTCATGATTTAAACACAAAAGTTTAGAAGAACCCTCGAAGAAAAAGGTAGGAAGACCTTTTTATTATGTATTTTTCTAAGCTTGATATAAAATGCAGCAGTCATTAAAAATGAAGATCGAGGCCGGGCGCGGTGGCTCAAGCCTGTAATCCCAGCACTTTGGGAGGCCGAGACGGGCGGATCATGAGGTCAGGAGATCGAGACCATCCTGACTAACACAGTGAAACCCCGTCTCTACTAGAAAATGCAAAAAAACTAGCCGGGAGGTGGCGGGCGCCTGTAGTCCCAGCTACTCGGGAGGCTGAGGCAGGAGAATGGCGTAAACCCGGGAGGCGGAGCTTGCAGTGAGCTGAGATCCGGCCACTGCACTCCAGCCTGGGCGACAGAGCGAGACTCCGTCTCCAAAAAAAAAAAAAAAAAAAATGAAGATCGACAGATTTGCTTAGATAAAATTTTAAACTTCTGAATGATGAAAGATACCATGAAGGAGGTCTGAGTGCAAACAGAAGACTTGGAGAGATTATTTTCAGCACTTACAGCAGTCAACAGGCTGGTAGCTGTAATGTACAGAGAGCTCTATATAGTAATAAGAAAAAAACAAATACTGTATTAGAAAAGAAAATGGACAAAGACACTTCAAAAAAAAAAATTCACCCAGCATGTAAGCATATGGTAAAGTACCTACCCAACCTTACTAATGATTAAGAAATGGAATATTACAAGTGCTACAGAAGTTTAGATTTCTATAATATCAAGTGTTAATCAGTGATGTGGAGAAATGTGTACATGCATATTCTATTGATGGGAACATACATTTTGCAGTCTTTTTTTGGTAGGCAATTAGGGAGAATCTATCAAAATTTAAACATAACATGTCAAACCTATTTCTAGAAGTTTATTAGTAATACTCCCCAATGTATAAGGATATTTGTCCAAGTATTTTCGTTGGACCCTACTAGCTTTATGTATCTCTAGTGAGTAAATACCAGACACCTGGTCATGAGACTAACACATGGATTTTTTAAAAGCTTTAGTATGTCTAAGATATTGGAAAAAGACAGAAGTAGAAAAGGTACTGTTCCTTTTCTATTGAAGTAACTGCCCCATCAGCAACCAACTGTGAAAAGGATGAAATGAGTTCTAAACTTAGGGACTCAGTACGTGAGTGTGTGACTAGAGTATCAAGTGCAGTTTTGGTTGGGCACTTTAATCAAGTAGAATGGTCTAGATTTGCCAGCTGATTGGGACATTCAGGAGTCTAGAGTTGAAGACACGTTAATATCCTGAGCCTGGATAACTGGACTGTTAGTCACCATCAGCTGAGATAGGTGGTTATGTAGAGGGAATGAGAATTTAGAGGCCATGTTAAGAAGTTTGTTTTCAATACTCAAGGGCTTCTGTGATCTAACCCAAATCTATATTTATAAAGCCATCTCCCACTGTTTTTCTTCTGGAACTCAATGAGCCAGGTATATGAAATTGTTTTTTCTCCAAGAGCCTTCTGAGCCATCGCACACCCTGCTTTTGCTTAGATTCATTCCGCCTGTGCCATCCCATCGCTCTCATCCTATAGCAGCTCTGCTTATCTTTCATTATTTTATTCAAGTACTATACTCTTCCTTGAAGTATCCTAGATCCTTTGCTCCCCTGAAATCAGATTTAATTATTCATTCCTTTGTTTTCTCAGAATAATTGCGTAAACCTCAATTAGAGGATGGTGTTTTATGCTGGCTGAAATTACCATCAGCTCACACTAGGAGATTTTGATTCCCCTCTCCTATAACATGCAAGTCAAAGATTGCATGTTATTCTATTTTGGTTTCCCATTAATCTCTCAGTTTAGAATTTGAGGCTTTAAGTAGAGAAGGGGAAGACAATTTTGGAAGATTTCAGGCACTTACCTGCAAATCAGAAATCATCCAATAGAAGCAACAGTTTACTCCATCTCACCCAAATCTAACCCTCACACATGATGCTGAGATCTCAGTTTGCTTTTGACCTGGCACATCCCATAAAATTACTTACATCCAACACTGCAGCGGTAGCATTATTTACAGAGGCTTCATTACAGTTTCCTGGACCTTCAGCCAGGGACAGAGTACAAGTAGCTTCCAGACTTCCTTCTTGTAGCTTCCTGCTGTACTGAAGTACTTAACAGGCACTTAATAACCGTGTATTGAATGAACAAGTGAAGAGGTAAATGCTGAAGCCATGTGGACATTTGAGTTTGAGCATGGGGGTATATTTTGGTGCCGTTTAGAGCAGCTGCTGAGGTGGGTGAATGTCTGCCATCCACTCTGTGGCAAGCAGTGGGGTTGCGGAGTTAGAGTGCCCCTGCTGCCGAGGAGCTTTCCTCATTCTGATATTCAGACTCCGGGGCTCTGTGGATGGGTCTGAGATGGGGAAACCCATCACCTTTGTGACATTTTGCGGACGTGTACATGCCCAACATGTTTGTTTGTTAGGGGTGAGGGAGAGGATCTGTAATTTTTAGGAGTGTGTGAATTAGTGTATACATGTGTTTTTTAGAGGTAGATAAGAGAAGGTGTCTAATTTTTACCAGACTGTCAAAGGGTTATGACTGGAAGCCAGCTAAGAACCTCAGTGTTATTTTGCAACCACAAGGCTTTCGGCAAGTCCAAGCCCATCGGCCCTGCTGGAACAGCAAGTCCCTTAGTAAAGCATTGGCTTGATAGTCTTTGTGGGTGGAGCAAAGATCCCACTTGTCTGAGTGTTTACATGAGCGTATGCACACACCTGCTCTCCCCAGGAGGAGTTGTAGAAAAATAGATACTGAGTGCCAAATATTTACTGATCACAATGGGATCCAGAAAAGGATAAGACATCAGCCACTCCTCAGAAGGAAGATACAATTACATGAAATGTTCCAATTCCTCTGGCGTATTTAAATCATGATTGAAGATCAAAGAAGAGATTTCACAGTACTCCACGATTCATTGCCCGGTGAATTGTATGAACAGTCACAACACAGGCATTCAGTGGATCTAGGGATTGTTAGGCCAGGTTTAGGAAGGCTTTACAGATACACAGAATGGGAACTCTGGACTGGGACATGGACAGATACTTTTTTTGTCCCAGTCTCATCTCTGGAAACCAACCCTCCCTCCCTCCTTCCCTCCCTGCCACCCTCGCTCCCTCTCCCTTTCTGTCTCTGCTTTTTTTTCATTTGGTTTCTGTGACAGCTTTCTCTCCTTTGGCTCTCTTCCTGCATTTCTGACTCTTCTGTTGGCTTCTCCTCCTGTATCCTGTATCAAATACCTACATTCATTAGGGTGTGGTACCAGGCTCCCTTCTTTTTTTTCTAAACTTCCTTCACTAGTGACCCCCTCCATTCCAGAATTGAATATCGTCTCAATGCTCATCACCCCCAGTCTTCACTCTAGCCCAGTCCTCTCGAATCTCAGCTTCATGTCATACATGTGTGTCCACCTGACTGCCGTGGGCATTTCCAACTTAACATATCCACCTGTGTCTGTAAATTTCTCCCCATATGTTCCATTCTTTTCGGTACCTCTTTTGATCAAGCCCAAAACATGGAACCTATCCTTTATTCCATCCTCTTTTTCTTATATCCAGTCCTTCACTGAGTTCTGTCCATTTTGTCTCTAAAAGATGCCAGTTCTTTTCATCTCTTGCTGCCTGTACCAGCCCCACCTTATTCCAAGCGCCTGTATTCTCTCTCTTGTGCTATAGCTCTAGGCCCTGGACTCTGCTGTACTTCCTAGTGCCTTCCCCACTACCTCAATTGTGACCCCCCAATCAAATCAACCTTCTACCCACAGTCAAAGTGAACTCTTTAAAGGGAAATTAGATCATTTTATTTTCATGCCTAAACATGTTCAAGGGCTTCCTGTTGTATGTATCCAAACTTCTTATCTTAGGGTGCAAAGCACTGTACAGTATGGTCCTGCCTGCTTCTCCAGCCCCTAAGGAACCCCAACGACCTCCTTTCTGTTCATATACTGTGCCCACTCACTCCTGCTTCACTGCCTTAGTTCCTGCTGTTCTTCCCCAAACTCTCAGCATGACTGACTCCTTCCCTAAGTTCAAGTCTCTTCAGCTTAACTGACATCTCAGTGGGCCCTTCCCCTGCCACTCTGAGTGGCTGTGTATTAACCTCTCTCACCCGACAATTCTCCTTATTTTAGTACCTTGTTCGTTTCTTCCATGGAACTTGGTGTTTTGAAAGTATTCATTTACTTACTGTATGTCTCCCCAGCTCCATCCCACCCTGTCCAGATTCTCCGTTATCTGAAACAGGGCGTGTGTTTACCTGCTGGCCATGGTGCTTGCAGAGCGTCAGTGTTCAATCAATGTTTGAATAGAGTAAATGAATCTGAATAGGTAGAGAACATGGAAACAGAGCTAACTGTCTCATGTTCCAGGCAAGTGAAAGTTTACGGGCAGAAGCAATGTCAGAAAAGCCCCATTAGTGTTTGCAGGGCAGTCTTTATCCTGTGACCAGAACAGAAGGGAATATAATTGTGTAGTATCACAGATTCAGAAGTCAGTTTGGAGAAGGTGGGAGCAGGTCTGAAACACAAAACTAAGGAGTTTGGGCTTTCTCTCATATGCATTTATGTTTCATTAAGGTTTATAGACAGGCAATAAAATGAACGAGAACACTAAGCTAGCCTCAGTAGGCAGCGTCAGTCCTCATTTTAATTATACTCTGTCATAATTGTTGGATCGCTTCTCCCCTTCCCCTACCAGACTGATACCTCCTTCAGGGAAGGTACGATTCCTGGGGCACTATGCAAGACCCCAGCTCAAAACATAGTGCTTGACACATGAGAGGGGCTCAGTGAATATGTTTTAAATGTACGGGTGAATTAGTGGGAAACATTGGGAAGCAATTATGCAGCCATGATAGAGGTTTAGATCCATCTCCTCCAAACTGCCTTGTTCCCTGGAGGTGTCCGAGTGGAGGACCAAGTAATCACACAGCAGATACGTCGCTGACATCCCTCGCTTAGCTACTGGGGGCAGATTTGGCCTTATCTCTTCTTGACCTCCTTAACCTTGTCGAGGAAGTCTGTTAGAGGGTTAATAACAGATACTATGCGTGACTCCAATAGTGTCATGCACTGCAGTGATTAATATATACAGCAAACAGTTTTCTTGCTAAAGCTTATTTGATTCAATCTAAATATTCTTTCAGAGAGATCTTCTTAATTGTAATGACATGGTATAAATATAAGAAAAAAGAATGTCAATTATCACTTCGTATAATAACAGTTTTAGTGTTCATGCACATAAATTACAAGTAAGTTTACCTATTTAAAAGCAAGAAAAGTGCTCAGTTTTGCAATTTAAAACTTTAGAATATGCCACATTTTAAAATTATGTCATTACAACCAGTAGAAGTTAGTAATCACCACTAAAGTGCATGTTCTTGAGTAGATGATGAACTACTCACAGTGAAATTCTTTAAAATATCATTTGAAAGAGCAAGATTTAAAGGCACCTATGTTATATTTATTTTCAAACACTTCGGACTTATCCAACATACTTTGAATATCTGTTATGTAGCTAATATGAAAACTTCTAGAACTGTATTGTCTCATATGGCAGCTACTAATCACACATGGCAATTTAAATTCAAATTTTAACTAAAATTTTCAGTTCCTCAGTGTCACTGACCACATTTCAAATGCTCAGTAGCCAGATGTGGCTAGTGGCTGCATTTCCATCATTTCAGAAAGTTCTGTTCGAAGACATTGCTCTAAAGGAAAGAAATGAATATGGCCCATAATGATCACTCTATGTGTAGCATCAGGAGTGACCGGAATCTGTCTAGGATTCCAGCCATTGGAGCAGATGTCCTTGCCTGCGTTGATGAAAACACTTCAGTGCCCTTGTTCCCAATAGATAATAATCCTAAATCAAATTATGGCCACTAGATTAAAGATGAGGCCTTATCCTTGTCAGTATCTTATCTATTTGAGCTAGTTGTATATTTTCTTATTTTGTTCGAAACCAATTGTAATGTAGTTTTACAAAATGATATTTTGAAAGCAAACAACTTCAAAGCATTAGCTTAACCCTGCGCTCATCCTGTATGTTCTAATCTACTGGCTTAAGTTCCCCTGTCTATAAAAGTAATAACTCAACAGCTTTGGCGGAGTTCCTTCATCCCTCCACTGGATTCAGGATTTCAAGAGTCTGAGTAGGAGCTTATCATGAAGTGTCTGACAGTGCATACATCAGAAGGGTTTATTGGATAAAGATGCAATCTGAGTCCATCCGCTCCAAATATTTTATCACTTTCTCATTCTTTTGCAGATCACCTACAAAGCAGTCAGTTCCTTTGACCCAGAAATAGATTTATCCAATCAGAGTGGAAGAGTTTCAAAGCTGGGAAACGAAACCCATTTTCTGTTTTTTGGACTGTATCCGGGGACCACATACTCCTTTACCATCCGGGCTAGCACAGCTAAGGGTTTTGGGCCTCCAGCAACAAACCAGTTCACCACGAAAATATCAGGTACTCTACATTCGTGAGTTGTGTCTTTTATCAGAAGTAACATTTTTGTCCTTTTTCTTTCTCATTGTCAAGTATGCCAAGCTGGCCCACACTAACATTGTATCCAAAGGAATACCATTGAATGCCTGAAGCTCAGACTCATGGCGTTAAATGAGGTACTACAAATATTTGTCATTTGGGAGCTTGAGATCGCATGTGTTAGGAAGTGGCTATTGTTTCAGCAGGGCGCCTTGGAGGACTTGGGCATGAGGCGGAAGGTTCTGTTGAGACACTCTCATCCCCTTCTCAATCCAAAGTTGTCAGAGCAGTAATGTTGGAAAAATCTCTGTAATGAACCATGAACCATTAGGAGCTCAGCAGAAAGACAGTCATATGGAGTCTGCTTCCGAAGGATCAGCCTCCTTGGGACCTCTACCATAAGCAGATTCTGTCCTGAAGAGAGAGGCAAATACATGATGGTACCAGGCACTGAGGACCTCCAGCTTTTTGCTTTTAGAGACTTAATTATGTCATCTAACAAAAGACCTAATTTGAGAAATATTTCTAGGCATGTTCAACTGTGCAGAAAATGTCTTTGTACTTCAGACTAGAGGAAATTAAGCTGCCATCTGGTATGGGATATACAACAGCAATAAAAAAAAATTGCATGAATATTTTTTTTCCTTTTTTTTCCCCTTTGGGTATGAATGTGGAAGTGTTGAGTTTTGGCTTTAACTGTTTTGTTTGGAGTGAATCAGGTGGGGTGGAAGTAGGGAAACGAGCTAACTCTTGTTATCAGCCATGGTTAGTTCAATAATATTTAGCCTGACCTTTACATCTTTTGCCTCTCTTTCCTTGTTTTGTATTAATAAAAGTTATTGTTTGGAGTTGAAGGAAAGGAATGTTCACAACTAGAGTATTGTAAGTGTTTGGCTAGGTTTTGAGGGAGGGTTTAGAATTTTCTTTTTAAGCAATTATAACTTAAGGGATAATTTTTCATTATATAAGATTTTATGAGCACAAATGACTTGAAATTTAATACACTTGATACTCTGTGTATAGAATTAGGTTATAGAAACAGTATGGAGAATTGGGAAAGAGAAAATAAGTCTTTGGGAAGTTAGAATAATTAGAGATTTGAAAACTGACACAGGTTGAAGAAAATGGGTTGGTAGAAGAAAAACCACTGGACTTGGAATTTAAAAATCTAGATTCTAGTTATGATTTTGCCAGGCACTTCCTCTCTGATTTTAATCAAATAAATTTACCCCTACATACAAATTAAGATAATATTATCTAGTGTATGAATTTATCATGGGGATTTAAAGATGAAATAAGTGCCTCTATATATACCTCGAAGCATGTTTTAAGAAATTTTTCCCATGTAAGTTACTCTACGAAGATTATTGTCATAAAGAGTGTATTTTTTGAATAAAATAATTCACTTTTTCTGTTTTATTAGATAAGAATTCTTATCAATATGGTTGTATTAGTCCGTTCTCATACTGCTAATAAAGGCATACCCGAGACTGAGTAACTTATAAAGGAAAGAGGTTTGATTTACTCACGGTTCAGCATGGCTGAGGAGACCTCAGGAAACTTACAGTCATGGCAGATTGTAATCAATGGTTTTGACCACTTTCAGCATGCCAAGTTCAAACAATTTTATTGAAAATCAAGAAACCTGACATTTTCATTAGCCTATACGGCTCATCAAGAATAAGTATTTGATTTTTATAGTTTTAAAACAGTTACAGTTTACAGGTTCAAATTTTCATGGACCTATGAGAGGGAACCACTCTTGTATACAAAATGTAATTCTATGTTATGAATTTGAGTTAATTTTTAAGAGAATTGAAATAAATTTTAATGCTGACATGATTCAAGAAATGGAACTCAGAAGTAACCCATATCGTGATAAAACAATCTTTTTGTATATGTAAGACAATTTTAAAAACTGTATTTGCTAGAAACGACCTCTAGCTTTCTCATCAGGAGTCTCTACCTGTGGGCTGTGAAAATATGGTATGCCCTCCCACATCACAGCTCTGCGTAACGATTTGTCTTGTCCATAATTACTGAAGAGCTCTGTTGCTATCATAATAAGACTTAACAGTCTAGAGAAGGAAGATGCTGGGAACTGGCCTTGGAAATAGGGTTTATATCTGGAGGAGAACTAACATTTGTAGGATTGTATTTGCCTGTCTCTCTGTTCTCTCTTTGAATTATGATAATAAACATACAGGGTAGTTTCCCCATTTTGAGATATATAAAAGCTCATATGCTGGTTAAAACAAAACACAGCAAAAAGTCAAACCCAAGCCTTTCTCACTTCTGTTCCTATGTGTTTTCCACTGTCATGCTTTTCTGAGAGCCCACAGATAGTCACTAATTAATTCCAGCAAATCTCTCTGACTCCCACTGTCCTCTTTAAATCCCCAGTGGGTCTCTGGTACCTGAAAAACCTTGACTTAGATGGAATAACTGTAAAGTCTAGTGATTATTTCTTAAATATGCCTTTAACATAAATATTTGAGAACTCATGTGTACAGAAAAGTGTACTAATTGTAAGTGTACAGCTCGGTGATTTTTCACAAGCCGACTATGCTAATTTAGCCAGAATCCAAATCAAGAAACGGAATATTACTCACACCTCACAAACCCCCTCATACCATCTCCCAACTTCAACTGAAGATCACAGAGGGCACTATGGGCTGCTTTTAGCAGCTGTCCCTGTGCTTCTGTGTAGGGAATATATGCGAAGCTTGCTCATGGTCGTTGATAGCTCCAATGTAAAGTAAATGCACTGTGTTCTTAATGCTCTTTGTAAAGGGAAGTGGAAACTAAACTGAGAAGATCAACCAGAAATAATGAGTCTTCCATCCTATGCCTTTTCCCCCAGCGCCCTCTATGCCAGCTTATGAACTTGAGACACCTCTGAATCAAACTGACAATACCGTGACAGTCATGCTGAAACCTGCCCACAGCAGAGGAGCACCTGTCAGGTATGGAACAGAGGGGTGGGCCAGCTCTAGAGAGAAGAAAACTAAATCAAGTTGATTAATTCCTCCAACGTGTTTTCTAGGGATTTGCTGCAAATGTCAGCCAGCATGTAAATCCGTATCTTTATTAGCTCTAATTAAAAGTAATGACTGAGGAAAATGAAAGGGCTTTGACGTAAGGTGGTCAAGTATTGTTTAAAGGGTTTTATGCTGATGCAAGTGGGTTGTTCTTTTGAAGATAAGGAACCAAGCACTAGTCTGTTGAGGAGGTAGTGTTAAATTAAAAGGTGACTGCCTGATGCAATTTGGTTACACAAGGGCAGATGGCATTTTTGTTCTCAGCTCTCTTTGAATGGATGTTTAAATTTTTTCATTTGTGTGTTTACTTTGGGTTTTATGTCATTTAATTTTTAGTAAATTAGCTAATTTCTCAATAGAATATGGGATGTATAGTTGTTTTTTTTTAAAAAAAAAAAAGATGATTGGAAAGAACATTGTGAAGTCTTTATTTGAACAGATTTGAGTTAATTATCAACATCTAGGCCCGCGTCTTATCCCATGATGATTTATATAGCTAAGCAATTATAAAGTGTAACTTTTACAGTGACTGAATAAAATAAATTTATTATTTCCAAGACAGAGCAAAAGAATACCTGAATAACTCTGGAGTATCAACTTGTCATAAGCTCATTAATCTACATAGGTGAAATTTCTACTTGATTCGGAGGGATTTAAATGTTTTACCTTTGTATTATCAGAATAGATTCCCTTCAGAGTCATCTATTACTTTGAATAGAGTACTTGGAAGAAACATTTACATTGACAAGGCATTTTAGGGTTTATTTTCACATTCCTTTTGTAGAATTTGATTTCATTAATCTTTTTACAACTCGCTATATTTGATCATGTTTTCACTGCAGTATCATAAGGCAATCAGTTAGATTTCCTTGTGTTCATTAAAATATATATGGAGGTCTCGGTTCATAAAGTCATAAATAAAACCAGAATAGTATTAGTTTTTAGTGAAGTCAGATTAGGGAAGAGTCACAGAAATTTTTATTTCAAAAATCTCCAAATTTTTTAAAAGAATTTTTAGTTTATACTGTAGAAGAATGCAACACAGTAGCTCATGTAAAGTTTTATGCTTGCTGTTCATAGATGCAGTTTGTGAGAATACTGCGAAATATATAAAAGCTCTATTCCAAATTGGAGATCGTGTTAACTGCTACATTTCAAGTGATGTGCTTGACATTGCCCAGGCCCTCTGGGTTGATGCCTGTGGGTGGCACTGAGAGGTTGCACTAATCCGATGGATCCAAGGCATACATTAGATGCTATCCAAGACTCAAGTGTACCCATGGCCATGGGTCAGTCTTTGTTGACTTTAAAAGCTGAAATTTATTAAATGAAAATGTATGCTCTGACCATGGCCTTGGGAGCGTCATTTGTTTCTGATCCACTTAACAGTTACTCAGACTCAGCAATAAAGAGTCATTGGGAAAGGACTCGATGTTTTACTGCAGAAAGCATCATGATCATGTGAATAGTTAGAATTCACTCAGCTTCAATGCCTCCAAACCGAAGGAAGCTGAAAGCTTAATCATTTTTCAAAAACAGCCCGTTATTCCACAGTACTTTGTTCTTATATGGATACCTTTTGCACATTTTGTGTACTTGTGTCTTACTTTCAAACGCTTTCTGTTGGACTTTCATTTGCATCTTTGTATAGATCTGTCCAAGTTGTGTTGACTGGTTTGTTTTTGAGATGGAGTCTCACTCTGTCGCTCAGGCTAGAATGCAGTAGCCTGATCTCAGCTCACTGCAGCCTCTGCCTCCCAGGTTCAAGCGATTTCTTCTGTCTCAGCCTCCCAAGTAGCTGGAATTACAGGCGTGTGCTACCGCGCCCGGCTAATTTTTGTATTTTTAGTAGAGACAGGGTTTCATCATGTTGGCCAGGCTAGTCCTGAACTCCTGACCCTAGGTGATCCACCCATCTTGGCCTCCCGAAGTGCTGGGATTACTGGCATGAGACACCATGCCTGGCCAAGACTAAGTTTTAAAATAATTGCTCTTTGGGCGATCTGCCTGCACCGCTTTCCCAGCCCTCTTCCCTGGTCTTTACAAGGTGCTGGGCACACTCCAAACTACTGTTCTTTTTTCTAACATATGCCTCACTAAGACATGATTTTATTGTTGCTTACTTTTACACACGTCTAGTTGTTTTTCGGAGACTTTGGGACCTTACTAGTAGTTCTTGGTGTCCTCAGGCTTCCTATTCTAATGTCTGTAAAAATACATATCCAAATTCTTGTTAGAGTCCAAAATACATAACTTTCTCTGCAGACCTTACATCATTTCATCACTTCGTGTTGCCTCACCCTCTTTTCTAGTTGTCATAACATCCTGGTTTACAAGTTCAGCACTGCTGTGCTTTTAAGAAGGGTGATATCAGCATTGGTGAATATGCTCCTTGAATTTGCCAGAAGCACTTTGCCTCCAGTCCCTAATACCTGCTTCCCCTGTTAGCATCTTGAAATTAATAAATACATCCATGTTCATTATTCACATCTGTAATCTTAGAATCATGATCAATCCTTATGGGACATCATTCCATAAGCATTATGGGGAAACCTGCTATAGACATCATCTTTATTGGAAGGATGCCTATCTTAAATGGGTAAATTGTGTTGGCACACATTTGAGAGAGGAAATTATTTCAACCTCGCCTGTCGAAAATATATATATATATGTATCTTTTTTTTTTTTTTTTTTTTTTTTGCAGAAAAGTGAATGTTGTCTTCAAAAGATTCATTATATCGGACAACATAATTGAACTGATTATCTGTAGAATAGATGGAAGACCAATATAGCGAGAAAGACTAGGTTGGGGAAAAAATATGTATAGTACCCTCTAACTAAATAGGGCATATTAAAATTCTCAATTTCATGTAATGTTTAGACAAATAAGAACTCTGATTAGGGAATCATATGGACCTAAATATAAAGCCATAATGTAAATTAAAACATTTGAACACATCTGGAAATCTGCAAAATGCACATGTAATCAAACTGCAATACAAGAAAGCTTTTCCCAAATGATAAGATAAATACTAGAAGGAGGAGGGAAATGGAAGCGAACATCTGTTTGCTTTCCTGGATTTTGCACAGTATTGTGTATTCAAAAATACTGTCATTGTGTGATTTCCAAAACCCATTTTTTTCAATTGATTTGATTTTTTTCTTTAATCCATATTCATTGATGTTGAAAATTCAGTTGAACTTTGTTTATGCACTTCACCAAGTAAGGTGGTCGTGTATTGATTTCCCTACAAACACTCAGCTTGGTTCATGTAGATTCTTGAAATTGCATTAAACTCTCAATGTAAACGATTGTTGTCTTTTTATTGATCAGCACATCAGCTCTGTCACATAAAATTATTTAAATCGTGAGATGGCCCAGAAGAACACAAATTCCATCATTCCAGCCAGTAAACTAGCACCTAGGAGAGAATTTTAATGTCTGTTCATGGATTCAAAGTTTTTTCATTAATAAGATACGGAAAAGTTTTATTTTCTTTCTTTCGTTTATTTATTCTTTTCTTGAGACAAAGAGTCTCACTCCGTTGCCCAGGCTAGAGTACAGTGGTGCAATTGTAGCTCACTGCAGTCTTGATCTTCCGAGGCTGAAGCGATCCCCCTGCCTCAGCCTTCAGAGTGGGTATTAGAGACAGGATGCACAGTGCCTCTGGCAAATTCAAGGAGCATATTCACCAATACTGACATGACCCTTCGTAAAAGCACAGCAGTGTTCAATTTCGAATGCAGGGCACCTCAAATGTGGAACTGAAACCAGAGAGTGATGATTATTATTAACGAAAGACCGTCCCAGCACTTTGGGAGGCAAAGGTGGGAGGATCACTTGAAGCCAGGAGTTTGAGACCAGCCTGGGCAATGTAGCAAGACCCCGTCTTTACAAAAAAGAAAATTAAAAAACAAAAACAAACAAACAAAAAACATAGCTGAGCATGGTTATATGCCTGTAGTCCCAACCTAGGCATGGTTGTGTGTACCTGTACTCAGGAGGCTGAGGCTGGAGGATTGCTTGAGCCCAGGAGTTCAAGATCAGCCTGGACAACATAGAGAGGCCCAACACAGACCCATCTCTACAAAAGAAATGTTTTTAAGAAAGACAGGAGATAATCAGGCATTTTTGTTTTGAAAAGTTTCTCATAAATTATGGTTGTTGGCATACAAATGGTTACGGTTTAGTAGTTCAAGGTTATGAAGCATAAAGCATGTTTTCTTTTTCTCAAGCAGTAGCAACCCTTTTGTTTATCTCACTCTCTGTAAGTTCAAGGAAAGATGTTCAGTCCATTAACACTACCTTCCTAGACATCCCATTCTCTTCTCCACACAAGGAGCCTTCGAGCATTGGGGATATGGAGGAAGCTGCTATGGACTCTCTTCTCCAGGGGCTGGCAGTGTAGATGGGAAAGAGAGCTACGTGGAATCTAGTGTCCTATAGTAAGTAGGGATGAGGATGGGATCCAGTGGCCTGACGAAGGAGTGGTCAGTACAGGGAAGAGCCAGCTAAGACTTCAGAGAGGAGGTAACCCTGGGGCCGAGTAGCTGAATCTTGACAGATGGCTGTTGTTCAGAGCATCTGTGTGATGTGGAATATGTTGCGAGGGAGGTTAGGTATGTGGCTGGCAAGGAATAAAAAATGAGAGAGACAGGTTGCCTCCATGAGGATGGGGAGGACTGAGTAGTTTAGCCTGATCTGAGAATGAGAAGTGTGTTATAATCAGAGAGGGGTGAGATGGGAGAAGAAGCAAGGGAGATAAGAGGATGAATTGGATGACCTTGCACTCCATACCAATGAGTAGCTATTTACAGGATTCAGGTCAGGGAAAAAATGTAAGGAAGACACACAGCAGTAATGGAGGATGGGTTAGAGGGCATGGCGCCGCAGAACAAACAAATAGGAGCGGCGTAAATGCTGG